TGCAGACCCCTCCAGTTCCCGTCTGCATCGGCAGGCGAAGGTTGGAGGTGCAATTTGCAGCTGTTCCTCTACAAAAGAAGCACAGCCATTTTATGATGGTCTTGATGTTACCTGTTGGCCTCACTTACCCAGGGTCTGATTTGCATGACTTCAGAAATTGAGGCTTGAGTTAATTAATTTTTTTACTTGCTTTGTTCCTTCAGCCGCTGTCAAATCTAAAATAGCGGGCTGAGCAGCGTAAAATTTTCTGCACAAAGTGTGCCATATTTTAATGTCCTATTTATATCATAAAGCGAGCCAAGAGGCGTTTCCTGCCTCGACCTTTCCTACTTACCTCATTCAGGGTCACCTTTAAAGTCCTAATCACATACTCATTTTTCTTCTCTTCAGCTTCCTGCAGAACAAGAAGTTAGAGTCATATTTTCTGCAGATGACACAAGTTTCCAGCGCACATGATGTGACATGGTCTCATGGCAGCTGCACTCACACAGGCGATGGAGAAAGGACCACACTGCAGGGGAGAGACGTCCACCTCTGCCCAGTACCGCTCACATTTCTTCTGTTGCGAGAAGCAGGATGTGTTTGGTTATTCACTACCGGCCCACCCCTGCCGCCTCCTGTCTCTTTGCAGGACAAAGCTCTTGCTGGGAGGAGGCCCAGTTCTTGCCGCCAGCCAGCTCCAGCCTCCCCTTCCCTGGAGCCATCATTGCTGGTTTTTCCCTCCAAAGAGGCTAGCTACGCTGCTGGAAACAGTTTAAGGATCTGCAGCTGGAGACTCAGGAAACAGCTCATATCAAACAGAAACTCACTGTCACTAATGGGATTTAATAAGAATCTACGTCTCTCCACCCTGCCCTGGCACTGTTACGGCAGAGACCGTCTCTGACACGTTACTCACCTTTCCCATTTCAAACTCCATACAAGCCATGACCACAATCTGCAGAAAGAAGGTTCGTTAGAAAAGTCTGAACACAAGTTTCTTATCCAGGCAGCAAAATGAAACTCATCAGCAATGAGGACGTGCCGTGGGCTGCCTTCCCCAGTCCTGACTGCTGGGCAAATCAAACTCGGGACATCATCCACAACCCAAGCACAAGGGCCTTTCCCACTCAGAGCCTGAATGCAGACAGCGACGAGCAGGCTCCTGCCTCAGCAGGAGGGTGGAGGAGGCTCACGGGAGGGGTGCAGGGCACACACAACATCGGGAGAAAAACCCTGACACTCCCACTGTCTGCTTAGTCAAAAAGGACTTCTGGCTGGCCGTATGGACAGCTTCTTTTTTTCTTAAAAAAAAAAAAAAAAAAGAAAGGCATATAAATCTGCACCTTACCAGGACTTCATACTCCCAAATCATCCTCCAAAAGTCAATGACAGTAGTGGGGAGAGGACCCTGGGTTGCAATGTATGCTCTTGGCCCATAGACGCCCTAAAATGGCATTCAGATCAGACATAGAGACATATTTGCACAGTTCACTAGCAGAAATAAAGTCATCCCTCTTTCTGAATCTTACTTCTATCCAGTGACCTTATTAAGGACTTAGAAGGGCTTTTATATAGTCAAAATGTAGGCACTTAATTTAAGCAACAAGCAACCAGTGGCGCGCAAACCTCCCAAAGGCAGACCTAAGCCAGGGAGCTGGGCTTGAGGTGAGCTTTGCTCCCAGAGACCACCACTCCTTGCAGTGCGTTTGGGAGCTGGGCGGTGATGCTGCAACAGCTGATCCCGCTCTGCAGTGTGCCGCTTGGCACACCCGTGGCTGCCGGCCAGAGAACGAGCCGTGATCTCCTTGTGCAGGTCTGTTCATCTGCAGACGGGTTACACAGAGCCCTCGATCACTGGGGCGGAGAACGCAGGAAACCTTCTCTCTATCTAGCAGAGAAGAGCTGTGAGCGCAGGAGAGTCCCACAACACGGGCGGCTCCTGATGGAGACCCAGCCTGCGCTGGCCTGCCCTGTCGCTCGCCTCTGCAGCGGGTCTCGGCTGCGCTGCAGTGCAAGGCTTCCTGCCTGTGCACTGGGTTCAGGCCATTTTGCACCACTGTCACCCATCAAAGGCAGTGACACCGTCAAGGAACTTGTGACTGTGAGCCGCAAACTCTTCCACCACCCGCCCCAACAGGAGCACACGTCCCTTGCCCTACAGCCTAGTGCCTCTGTGCCGCAAAGGGTGTTTTTGAAGGGCTCCCTGATGGTGCGCGTCTTCTTTACACCAGTTGTCCTTGAGCACAGCCCAGAAACTACTGCATAGTCCTTTCGCTCACCAGAGCCGCAGGACCTGCTCCTCCTGGCACAACTCAACCAGGCAGCACCGACAGCTGCGACAAACGCCTTCGCACAGAAAAACACCATGAAAGAAGCAGTACCTTGATGAAGTTGGCATTGATGTAATGAGAATCTTCATCAGACATCATCAGGGACAACTCCACTCTGCTGTGGTCAACTGCAGGCACAAAAGCAGAGGCAGCAGCAGTTACTGTGTGTCTTTCATGGTACCTGAGCTCCTCAGACTGTAGCACAAGGTGCTTTGGAGGACCTCGTACATCAGAGAGCAGATGAGTGGCTGTGCAAGCAGCTAATGCCTCCTCCTGCACCTACCGATAGCCCTG